GAGTTTGGGGAGGTGGGGGCAAAGAGAGCGGGTGAAAGCTTATGCTCCTGTGCCCCTCCCCTGCTCCTCCTGTTCCTCCTCTGCAACGATCAAACGTTATTGTAGGCAGGGTACAGAATTACAAATGAGTGTCCTGTGGCAACGGCTGGAACTGGAATCAACTGCTCTCTTAAGTCTGCTCTCTCCTCAGGTGGCCATCAGYAGCACGGCTGATCTTCCCCTCCCTGTTTAATCCTAACATTAATATCAGTACTCGCTCACTGTTAATTAACATTTTGTAATATATTACAAAAACAAGGGATGTTTGCAACCACACATTCTGAGACACAGAAGTTTGACAGGCTTTTGCCTATACCAAGAAGGAGATGCTAACAGATGGAAGCCTCTAACGTAAAAAAAAAAAAGTCAAAGCTGGCTCCAGTCTGGCAGTCAGGAGGATCAAGTGAGAAATGAGCAGGGATGAAAGGAGGAGTGTGAGAGATGGTCTCTAATGAAAGCTATGTGGGTGATGGTAGATGGGTAGATGTGAAAGAGGGTGGAAGGTTTTGATCTCTCTCACATGAGCGTGAACAGGAGGGTCGGGGAAATAGAACAAGAGCCGGAGCTATGTGGAGAGGAGGGGAGAGGAGGAAAAGGGGAGGCAGCCACATTGCACACTTCAGGCTGTGAATAATTTAAAGGAGCACTGGGGAGACGAGACGTAGATGAACACAAAACACTGGCAGCGTTTGACCCAGAGCTGCAGCTACATCAGTGCACATCACAGAGCGGAGAGCTCGTTTCCCCCCTCTCCCTCTCTCCCTCCCTCTGTCTCTTTTCCCTCTTTTGCTCTTCATCTGCCTCCCTCTGTGTCAGAGAGGAAACAGCTGTACACTAYTCTTGTTCTGCCTCACATTCTATGAAACTCAACAGAATGGCTGACAGCTCTGTTTCAAGGATGTCTTTCCCTCTCCACCCTGGGCATGTAAGCACTAATGTAAGGACTAATGATACCATCACATCAGATCTGCCAACATTTCTGTTCATGCTATACCGTCCCACGAAACATAGTGCCCTTTGCACATTATGAGCTCTTACAAACTGCACAAAATTAATCCATTTAATCTTGCTTTAATGGAATCTACAACCTTGGCCACCTGGACACTTGTTATGTCAGAGGAATCGATTGTAAGGCTGTAAGACAGGGCTGGGAGCAGGACGGCCTGTAAACTGGAGACAGCAGCAGTAAATAACTGCTGCCCTATGATTAGACCCAGAAAGGTTAAACAGAGCTCGTTCACGCCACCTTTATCAAGCTGCCATGAATCACCTTACCTGGTGTGTGTGTGTGTGTGTGTGTGTGTGTGTGTGTGTGTGTGTGTGTGTGTGTGTGTGATGAAGGGTCTTCTGGACATCTGTGCAGGGAGTGGCAGTTGGGCGGACAGAGGGCGGTCTGATCAACCCAGAGGGGAGGGGTAGTTTATTACTGTAATTAAGGAACTGTGGGAATAAAGTAGCTGAGTTTGAATGAAGTGATTGATATGCTCATAAAAAATAAATAAATCTTGATATCACAAAGCAAGAGGTAGAAAAAGAGGCAAACAAAAGAAGAATTAAGTTGCTTCTCTCCCYTGATCCCCCCCACTCCTGTTCTCCACCACTCTCTGGCTGTCTCCTGCTCAGTCTGTGTGGCTGATATTAATGGGACATCCCTTGTTTGTAAATGTGCCAAGTTGTGAGCACCACTGCAGGCTGTCTATTATAGCAGGCCTCTGGGGCAGCTATTCCATATGGTGTCACATATGGCACTCAGCAGCATCAATTAATGTTGTTATAATACTGATTTTTATGAACTGGGGCTTAACTACTTTTCCTTTTTTTCTTTTTTTCTTTACCCACCCAGCCCCATCTCCTTAGTCCCCCCCACCATCACTGATTATGTGAGTTTTCAAACCGCCCCTACCCCTCTCATAAAACCTGCAACAATCTGGCTCCTTTACAGTGGAGGAAAAGTTTTTCATTATTTCTGAAAGCTTGAATCAGCTTTGCAGAATGTGCCTTCAAGACCTCAAGTATAACTTTATTCTTATGCTTTATGCTACAAAAGTGAAACACTGTTGCATTGTTAGAATTGTATATCTATATATCTTGTAGAACTTTTAAGAAACTGAGAGTTTGATCAGCAAAGTATTAAAAACAATCAGAGAAACAAAGGCTAATTGTACATCTGAGAGCTTTGTAAATGTGTTTATCATTTTTGCACATTTTAAACCAAACATTGCAATTGCCTGTAGTAAATGGTTCTGGTCATATTAGGCTGGCATTAGGGACAGTCAGTGTGTTAAATTAGGCTTGTTTTTATGCACAAAGCACCAGGCAGATGGATGTTAGAACAGAATCTGAGGGGCCCTTTTGTTTCCTGGTGCCTTTGGTGGTGGATCTGACAGGAAGGGAACAAGAGCGTAGCAAAAAGCCCCGCTTAAAAAGCTCCCAGACACACCATCCTTGTCAGCGGTGCCACAATTAGAGACTAGATCACTGGCTCTTCCCAGCGAGAAACATCTCCCCACCACTCCTCAATGGAACGCTTTCGTTTGACGAGCACACTCAAAGAGGGGCTTTAAAATGTTTCGGATGGCTAATCACTCTCAGGATGAAAGACCCTGGCGTGTTCGTTTGTGTCAGGGTGGGGAGCTTCCCTTGCCGTTTCTCTGTCTCTGATTCTGATTGTTTTTTGTTCGCTTCTTTTACAGCAAGGCAGACGAGGCAGGCGAGCTGGCAGGCAGCGCCGTTTGAAGGTGCAGTCAGATCCGAGCGCGGGCCTGATGCTTTGTAGTGATATTTCCAGCAGCACAATCTCATTACTTTTTGACGTGGGAGATGYGTGCAGGGGCGGATTGTCATTTCATGCTGTCAAAAGTTCTATGAGGGATTGGAGACAGCAGCGGAGCATCAATGACCTGCATGGCTCTGGCTCATCAAGGATGAATATATTAAACCAAATATCATAGATAAAATCCAKTGATCCAAATCCCTAGAGATGCTTGTAGACCTAATGTCCAGTCTTCAAGATACAGAGGAAATCTCATCATTTGTAGTTCTGTAATCAAACGTATTTCAAAAACTACTTAAGATGTAAAGTGGCAATATCATGTAAAATCAACTTATTTGAGTTTTATTCATGTTATAATGTTATACTCTCATAAAAACATGCCCAAAGCCTTGTTTGGACTCATTCATGCATGTTTGAGAAATCCTGCAGTGTTTTTAGGCAGCCATGCTGAGGAGCAAAACGAGGGACCTGAGAAATGTTTTTTTGGAACAGAAACCCCTGGGACGTGTCTTCAAGCCGAGCTTCCTCATCACAGAGCACACCTCCCCACCCTGCTCCCCACACACCCTGCCCATGACTCCTGCAGGCTCTCGGGGAGAATGGGTTATCTGCGGAATCAAAGTGGGCGTGTCACAAGAGTGGGCGTGTCACAAGAGTGGGCGTGTCAAAAGCATAAACACTGTGGACTACGAGGCCTCAGATCCTGGTTGATCTCTTTACAGCCTGACCCTGACCCCAACACTAAGGTTAACCAGGAGAAATGTGACC